GCAAAGGGCACAAGCAGGGCATCCTGCCATGTACCCCCTGCCTTCATTTTGTTTTTCTGGCTTGCCGGCACTCCAGCACCTTCCAAGGTAGGCGTTGTGTGTTTTCCGGCACTCCAGCCAAAAAAATGTTGCCTACCCCTGGTCTACAAGTATGACAAGCAATCCTTAGACTACCTAGGTGCCCTCCACAGCAGGGGCCTCACTCCCAAGGTACCACTACAGGAAAGCAGGTGGGGGGAAAGGAGAGGGAAACCCCCAAAACTCCTAAGCCTCCCCATCACTATCACCCAGGAGTGGCCCACGTAGTGCCCCTTTGCAACCCTGGGGGGTCCCTCCCCTGCGGGGACCCTCTCTCCAGGGTAACTTACTACTCCACAGTCCCAGAAGGTTGTCTCCCGTTCTCCAGGTCGAGCTCTGTTCCCCACTGGGCTTTCCTGCTGCCTGACTCTGCTGCCCCTGGGCCTGGCTTAAGGCCATAAGCACCCTACCCTGTGTGTAGTGGGCCCTTTGCCTTGTGCTAGGGGTTGGAGGCCTGGACAGCCTTGTGCAGCACCCGGACGCTCTGGGCAATGTTGTCCACGCTGAGCTGCTGCCCCATGCCAGCAGCTGTAGACCTGAGTCACCTCAAGCAGCTCCCAGGTCTCTCACCCTCCATACAGTGCTTCTTGCACCGAGCTCCTGATCTCATACAGAGGTTGGGGACCTGAGCCACCCAAGTGACCCCAAAGATCCTGCTCCGTGCAGTGGCTTGTGCACCGTGTCTCTGGCTGCACGACAGAGGTTGCAGACCTGAGCCACCTCACACAGATCCCAGGGTCCAGACACCATGCTGCACACCAAGAGCTTAGCCACTGGAGCCATCCACTGCTCCCCACTGATAGAAGTCTTTAGGGGCTCTTCCAGGCTACTGCCTTGCCCTGCTGAGCAGCTCTCCTAAGCCCCACTCTTCTCCCTCCCTGACCCATCTCTCACACTGGGCATTCAGCTCCTTTTATAGGCACCAGGGCTCCGCCCCTGAAGTCTTTCAGACCTGACAGTGTTGCAGTCTTCAATCAGGTCCAGTAGGGGGAGCTCCTCTTCCCCTCCCCTCAGGAAAGGGGTGTGACTTTATTTCTCTTACTGCCTCTTGATTGGTGGATGGGCTCCACCAATCAAAACAGCAGAATCTCAAGCCTGGGACTCAACCCAAGCTCTGAAAAGTGAGCCTGCTACACCCCAACTCTCTCCGAGTTGGGTAACAAAAATAAAGGCCCCTTCCCTGTACAAACTCAGTCTTTCCAGGTAATCTTCCTCTGCTCCCAGGACTGCAGAGCAGCTTACCCCATTCACAACACCTTCAGGAGCTCTGCTGCCAGGAGCATTTCACTACATAGCTTACAGGGCTGAACTGCCTGGTCAGCTGAGGGCTTGTGCTTATATAGCTCCAGCGGCTGTCTGCTGATCAGGTGACTCGCCAGGCAGCCCTTCTCTGCCACCACCTCTCTGGCTGCTTGCACACTTAAAGGGGCAGGCGCCCTCCAGTGTCCTGTTGCACTGATCCCAAGTGGTAAGTTCTGAACAATTAGGATTTAGAAGTTCCCTGAATTCCTGGGAGAAAACTATCTAGCAATAAAATCATTTGCATCAAGGATGTTATCCATATTCGCAAGCATGTGCATGTATGAATGGATCTACTCATAGCAAACATCAGCTACTCAAACTGTGCTCAAGATTCAACAAGCACTTGACTCAATGACAAGCCTGAAAGAGACCTGGGAACAGCCCTTGGAACCAAGCATAGAGGACCTGGTTGCAGTGAAGAGGTGCCAAGTATCCAGGAGCAGGACTAGCAGTTTGTGAGATGCTGGTCTGTACAAGCAATATCTTTGTTTTATTTTGAATTAATTTGAACTTATCATTTTTCTTAGACAAGAAAATACATTTTGAAAATAAATCAAGTTTTTCACACACCTTAACCTGTAATTTCCATTATTTACTTACATCAGAGGTTCCCAACTACTGGGCCATAGCCCGGTACTGGGCCGTAAAGGGTTGGCCGCTGGGTCATGGCATAAACCCCCAGCTCAGACTCCTGTCTGTCTACCCCAGTGAGAGGCTTCTGCCACCACCAGTCATGTGCAGGGTTAAAGCTGGGGGCAGGGCAGCCCCGGGAGGGAGACAGCCAGATCCGTGTGCCCCATCCCACCCCTGTGCCAATCTGCAGGAAAAAATGGTTGAGAACCACTGAGTTACATGTTTACAACAACAATCAATGCAGTTCTGATCTTTATATAATGGAAAATATACATCAGGGCAGGAAATTATTTCAGCTGGAGGCCTGCTTAATGAGTTTTGGTGAGCTGTCGAGGGGCACAAGGGTAGCTCCACCCCTTTGACAGGTACGCCACCCCCTGGTTGCCATCTTGGGGCTGGACAGTGTTGCCAGGTGTATGATAATTATCGTATTTGTACAAACATTTCAACCCATGTACAATGTACAATCAAGAATAGTAAAAGTGTTTAAAATGTATGATAATTTTTGAGGCAGCTAACTGATGCAACATGCAAAACCCAAGTCACTCTCAGGGAGTCTCAGCTGACTTTTGGGTTTGCTGTCAGCACTTCTGATTACTTGCCTCAAAATAAAGAAACACTTCAACTTTGATGACCCAGGTCACTCACTCACTGGTAACTTGCAGTGAACAATAGAAAGTAAATAAGACGACTTATTTATATATTTTCTCAGTGTACCATAGTTTTTCAGCAAATATGATAATTTTGAGCTTCCAATATGACAATTTCATATTTAAGACCTGGCAATGCTGGGACTGGAAATCCCGCCTGTAACACCTGGCCTTTGCCATGGGAAGTCCCTCCCCTTGCCCTGAAAGTATTCCTTTTGGGAGGGAGGGTGCTGCCATCTTGAAACCACAAAATAAAATATTTAAAAAAAACCCCCAAATATCTACTGTAACATTTTAATTTTATTCTTAAAACTATTTTTATCCTGATTTATGTTTGTATCGTGTATCTAGAGGTGATTGTATAATAGCTCAAAATAGTCTTACTTTTATATATGGTGTGGGGAGGTGATGGGGTGTATGTGGGGGCTGTGTGTTCGGGGAGTGCGTCTGTAGTGGGGTGTGGGGTATGTGGTTAGGGTAGGGACTATGGGAGGGTGTGCGTGGGGGCTGTGGGATGATGTGGGTGTGCTTGGAGGTATGGTGGGGAACAGTGTGGGGGGGGTCTCCCTGGATCTGCAGGCAGTGGCTGCACATGAGGCGAGCCCCGCCTGGCACTGCAACATGCAGCTCCTGTTCAAGTCCCCAGCTGCACATGGCAGCAGTATGCTGGAGCAGCGTGGCCCAGTCCCACAGCACGTGGCTTCCCGTGCTCCTGCCCCCTGCAGGAGTTTCTGGCCCCTCTTCACCTGCATTGCCAGGCTCACAGGCAGGGAGGCTGGAAGCAGCCTCGGGGCAACCAGGCACAAGTTCTGCTAGTCAGAGGCTCCTCATCCCCTGTGCCCCCTGGCTTGGGGCGGGAGGGGCTGGGGTGGGAGGTTTGCTTAACAACCAGAGCCATACCTCCTGGAGGCCCCGGCTTGCAGAGGGTTTATGGAGAGGCCCCATGGGCTGGATGCCGTATTTTGCCTGCCCCCAACTTGATTGCAGTTTAGAAACTAATTTATTGCAGTTCCATGTTTCCTTAAGTCATATAGCTTAACTTAACATTACCCCACCCACCCTATCGACTATGGAATTGGTTAAAGGGCCCAAAGTGTTGCAACTAAGGCCATGCCATTTGCCAGCAGGCTTCCAGCTTTAGACCACTTGCAGTGCATCAGAGGCAGTGCTAGGCTCCTGAGCAGAGTCCTGGTGTCTAGACCTCAGTCTGGCTCAGTCCTGTTTCTCCCCGGCTCCTTGGCCAGCAGCAGCTCCCCTCTACCTGCAACTATAAGACCTTTGTGAACATACATATTGGATTTCTTGCATTAAAGAAATACATGGTGTCATATACAAGAGAGCATATTAGATTCTAAGGCCAGAAGCAGTCATTATCATAATCTAAGTTCTGGAAGAAAGCATCTGCACACAGGCAAATTAACTATTTTAGAATGTTATTCAGTAAAAGTCCAAGCCCTAGCAAGCTTATCATAGAATCATGGAAGTAGGGTCGGAAGGGACCTTGCAGATCTTCAGGTCCGACCCCCTGCCTGGGCAGGAAGAAAACTGGGCTCAAATGACCCCAGCCAGGTAGGCATCAAGCCACTTCTTAAAGACCCCCAGGGTAGGAGCCAGCACCACTTCCCCTGGAAGTTGGTTCCAGATCCTAGCCGCCCTAACTGTAAAGTAGTTCTTACAGATGTCTAATCTAAACCTACTCTCCAACAACCTGTGGCCGTTATTCCTTGTTATCCCAGGGGGCGCTAGGGGAAGCAAGGTCTCACCCAAACCCTTCTGGTCCCCCCCTAGTGAGTTTATAGACAGTCACCAGGTTCCCCCTCAGTCTTCTCTTGTGAAGGCTGAACAGGTTCAGGTCCCGTAACCTCTCGTTGTAGGGTCTGCCCTGCAGTCCCCGGATCACGCGGGTGGCCCTCCTCTGGACCCTCTCAATGTTGATTTCTTAATCAACATTGTTTAGTCAACAATGTTAATCAACAATGTTAATCAACATTGCTTAATCAAGAAGCTTAATTTCTCCCTAAAAGGAACTTGACTTTCATGGTTTCCCATATTTCTGAACAAGCAGAGACAGAGGAGGTGAGAATGTACAGAGTGGGAGGTGGGCAGCATGTCTTGGAATCTCCGAAGTGGTATTCACTGCAGCAGGTTTCCAGATTCAGTTTCCACCACTTGACCAATGGATCAGGTAGGCACAAAGCCAAGAGGTGCAGTTGTGACAGGAACAGATCTCAGGTGAGTCCTCCTTTGCACCAGAGTTGACCTGCTAATGTACAGGAAAGCAGGCTGCTGTTTTAAAATAGATTCACATGATCCAAGATTTTTTTAAAATTTTATACTTTTATTTAAGCACAAAAGTTTGACTTAACATATACATTTTTACATAAAGATTAGAAGGGGAAAAATACATCAGAAAAGGGGAAACTTTAAAAATCTCAGTTTTCCATCATTATATATTCAAAAGCACAAGGTGCTGGAGGAAGCCTCCCCAGGTACGTTGGCTTGGACCTGGTGGAAAGGGGGATGTTTATGATCACCCAGATCATCATTTCTATACAAGACTGCGATCGGAACTACAGCAGAAATCAAGCCCCCTCTCTTACTAAGGTGAAGGCATCAATTTGCTCCTAGTTTCCCTCCTTTCCTTTCATTTCTCATAAAGTCCAAGTGGACGAGGCACTTATCTGGTGAAGTTCACTGCTTTGTTCAATTAGCCCAGGTAGATAAGGATGTACGTGACCCTAACCAACAGCTGCAATTTCACAGCAAGCCCCTTGTGTCTACAGGAGCAGTCTCCAGGAAAGTCAAGATTCTCAATGGACTGAGTTTCATGTGCTCCTACAGTAGAGGCAGAAAGGAGCAAAACATCTCAGGATGCAAGGGGCTGGATTTGTCTTTCTAGACCAATTTAACAATTACCTCCAATAAAACCCAAGACATGGGGCTTCCAGATGCACCCAGCACATCCTTAAGACTTCCTGTAGCCTCTGAAGAATTACCCATTGATACAGACCTTGGGAAGAGTTCCTGAAATGCAAACTCACAGTAATATAAAGCAACTTGAAAGTGATCACACTATTTTTGAGACTTTTAACCTTCCTTTGCCCAGATTTCTGGAGTTCTTCAGTGCACAGCACTCATTTAGTCTCACATAGCCATTTTCAGCTTGCTACTAGAAAAATTACACTTCCCATCACAGGAAAAGAGGAGCCAGCAGAGACTGATACTTAAAGATTCAGCACTCCACAGCTGACAGGACGGGAAAGGGATGAAGCAGTTGATAAAGGGTAGGTGTTTTCATTACAGAAGGCAAAACTGAAGAAAAACTAATTCCTCCACTGTAAACCCTTTCTTGGGCACCAGGAAATTCCCTCTGTTCGCTGCATGGAGAGGGCTCTGAGGCAGGCAACCCAGGATCCATTTGCTTGAGCTCAAAGAAAACTCTGTAACCTAATACACATGTGCTCCCATTAAAATCCATCTAAGACTTGTTCCACATCAAAACAGACGTGATTACAAGGGAAGCAGAAGGGGGAGCATATTCTCAGAAGACACTTGAATCTAGCAGCCCAGACACTGGAATGAGCTTCCAGCAAGAGACATGAGCAGCAGACAGGGCTTCACACAGACATAGCTTTAGAAATGGAACACAGTTCAACCAATACATGTCCTTTGATAAAAAAAAAGTATGAATTCACCCTTGAGAAAGTCCATACATTCTCTGGGCTGCCCCCCCTAGAGTGCAGAGACAGAGAGCAAGCTGGACAGGATGGAGGAAAGGCCAGCAGCAGGCAATGTGTAGTGTTCCAAACTGAGGACCCCACTTACTAGGGTTTAGGAGGTTGGATACATCTTCCGTGCTTCCTAAGATGGTTCTGGTGGCTCAGTTTGCTTCCCACATTCTCATTCTCTCCCCTTCCACCAAACTAATACCCACATGGCACACAATCCTGCAGGGTAGCCCCAGAAAGCTTCTGACCTCTTCAGTACTGCTATTTCCTACATAGAAGTGAAGCTGGTCAGGTGTAGAGGATATCCCCATCACCCCAAGATTTAAGGCTATGGTGAAGGCTGCACTTCAATTGATCAACTCTCCATCTGTTCCCTGGGGGGATACAGGTATAAATACGGTTTCATAGTACAGTCTGATGTAGGATCCTCACCTTGAGGTGAGAAGAAATAGAAGCATGAAGAAGTCCTGCACCATGGTATGCCAGCAAAGAGCCGTCTTCCCCAAAAGCACCATTTATGCACTGTTGTAGCCAGACCTCGCAGAAGCCTGGCAGGAAGAGGTCAAGGCTAAGTAGCAGAGGCAGCTTCCTCCCATCATTATATTATTAACATACACTAGGTGCAAGTTACAAAATAAACCCTTCATAGCAAAGCCCAATGGAAGAAAACTCAAAGTCTGGAGATCTGATTCTCCAAACCCCTCTGACAGAGGCAAAAGGGGAGGAGAAGATGTTAAAGAAACATTGTACATGTCCTGGATAAGGAAAGATATATTTGATTTTGAGACCATTTCCCTATCCCCTACACCAAAGCAAGGAAAGAACTAGTCGCCATAAATGAAGGCAGCTGAAGCTAAAGAGACCTCTTCTCATCTCTGCAGCTGGTGTCACGGAGTTAGCATGGTACCCATGGAAAGTGCATCTTAAAAGGAAGATCAGGGTTGTGGCAAGAGAGAGAGAGGGGAGGGAGGTGTTGCAGAGGCAATCCTACATAGGGTTAGTTCCCCCGGAAAGCACTCTGCGCAGCTGAGGACGCGACCCCGGAAGCTGCATTCTGGAAGTTCCTGTTGGTGAGGATGCCTTGGGAGAACTCTTCCTGGGCCCTTTGGAAACTGGCTCCCGTCCGGCGATAGAGAGAGTGCACCTAAGGGAGGAGAGAGACCGAGAAAAGAAAAATCTGTCAATTTAAGGACTCTTCCCCTGTCACCAGCAGAATAGAACCTTAGGACTTAGACAGCTGACTAGACAGCATATAGCAAGCTCAAAATACCCCCCACTTTAGTTTCAAAGCTAGTGGGCTTCACTTGCAGGTGGAAGGAAAGTCAACAGCTAAGAAAGACTGACTAAAGAATCACATCCGGCCTGAGGTCCAGAAGGATGAAGGCGAGGAGAACTCTTGTTCATTATAAATGGAGAAAATTTAGTTCAGTGAATAAGTAATGTTCTCATGATCCATAAACATATCTAGTAGGGGTGTGCGAAACAGGCCGTATTTGATTTGGATTCAGCCCAAATTCGGGGCAGTGATTCAATTCAGCTGAATCCAAATCTGAAGATTCAATGCTGATTTGGAGAATCAGCAATTCAGCCATACCCCCCCGCACACTTGGTGGTGAACCCAGAAGTGGTCCAGAAGTACTTCCGGTCCACTTTCGGGTCCTCCACTGCCAAGCATGCGGGGGGCACCCCTACCCCACCCCCTTGGCTCGGTGATCAGCTGTGGGGGGACCCTGGGTGCCCCCCTCAACCCAGGAAGCACCAGTTACTGGGTCACTTCCGGGTCTGCTGCCAAGAGCGCTGGGGAGCCCCCTGCTCCTGTGGGATGCTCCATCCGCCCCAGCATTGCAGCATTCACGACCTACCTGGTACCTTGAGGCATATAGAAAAAACATTTAAAGCTGTGTCTATGTCTGAATTGTTGAATCTTTCCGAATCAATTTGAAGAGATTAAAGGGTCTCCTGATTCAATTCTGAGATTTGGCCACAGAATCGAATCAGGGGCCGAAGCTTTGCACAGCTCTAATGTCTAGTCCCTGCTTGAAATTCTACATAGGTCTTAGTCTCACTGAGATCTTAAGATAAAAAAGGGCCAATTATGCTGTGGGGAAACGTGTCACTATGTACCATTTCCAATGCCTTCTAGTTTTACTGACTATGCCCTTGGGTTTGTACTATGAGAAGTAGCACTCCTGCTTCCCTTCTCCAGCCCACTTGTTCTTCATATCTATCATATCCCCTCTCTATGCCAAGTAGTTGCAGTTTGCCCCCAACACACACACCCTAGTCATACTGACACATTCACCCCCATACCTGCTACCTTTTTCATAACCTGTTCCTGCTAGCTGTAAGATCAGATGACCAGAACTAAATACCCTAGTGCTGACAAGGACAAACAACCTACCTTATTCATATGAAGACAGTGTCATACTGCCATGGCATTCTTTTCTTCCCTATTCTTTATGCATCATAATACTGCCACTACACAGTAAGCAAAGATCTTCACCAGCTTGCCCACAATGACACTAAAGCTCCTTGCTTAGTTACAGGTCTTTTAGAGCATAATAATGTAACAGTTCAAGTTTTCCAGGCAACTTTCATTGTTCTCCACTTATTCTATCATGCTGCTCATACACCTAGCATGTCTGTGTCCTATAGAACTTTTCTGAAGTCTTCTCTACTTTCAGTTTTCTTAAGTGTCCTGCCTGCTCCCCAGTTTTTCTAGCAATTAAATACTAATCATGAGCCCCTACCCCTATTAATGCTCAGTACTGCCTCATAAATGGCAACCTGGTCTTCTCATGTGGCCCTTGGTTTCTTATTCACATGACTATAAGTTTTCTTATAGTGATGGACTCGATACAAGTACAGGAAGAACAAGCACAATACAGCTTTTGATAAACACAGATTTGCTGCTTTCATTCTGCCTTTGAAACCAAGTTGCTAATAGTACCACCAGAAGATAACACATTTTAACACTGGGAAGCTCTTTGCTATTGTTAGTATAAATTGTTCCTGGTATTCATGATCTAACTGGAACCCTTTCTTGTCAAATCACTTACCTGCTTTAGGAGGAAGAGTGAGAGAATAGCACACAGTGTGAAAAATGCAGCTACCACCATCATGATTATAGACACAGCCAGGTTTCCTTTTAACTCAGACAGAGCTGCAATCCAACCACTGTAAGAGGGAAAGCACATATTGAGTGGAGGGAGAAGACCAAATTCATACATGGACAAGAGAAAAGACAAAACTCCGAGAGAAGCACTTTGTTACTTGGATCATTTAACAACAAAATCAAGTGACCATGAAGAGGACATGCTATAGGAATGTCAGACCACAGAAATAATGTCTTTCTGCCTTCACGCAGGAAGTTTCTGAAAGTACTAGTTCAGTACTTCTCCACCTCTTTAGACTCAAGGCACCCAGCCACAACTTTTCTAAATGTCACAACACCCCATTTAAAAAAATTAATATATTATAATGTAAGCATAATTGTCATGTTAACGATTACTCAGTTATTAATTGATTCAGTCTTTATAATTATATATTATATCCAGGCAGGCATGGTATTTATGCTGCTTCTATTCCCAGTGTAGCTCCTGAACATAAAGGCATGTGGGGCAGTTCTACCTGGTGGCAGCAGCATCTTATCTCCAGACTGCTGCTGCTGCAGAGTAAAATTGCCCTGCGTGCCTTGGTTCAGGAAGCATGTGGAGCCCAGTTGAGAAGAAGCTGCAGCAGACTGCATTATGTTATGCAGGCAGGCACTCTGCCTCTGGTCTACCTCTTCAAGGTTTGGCTTGTACCCAGAAATGAGAAGCAGCATGCCTCTGCTACAGCTCTCTCATTGGTCATTCTCCACATGCTTCCTGAAAACCAAGGCATGAGGGGCAATTTCACCCCACAGTGGCAGCACCCCGGCTGAGAACCACTGCACTAGATGCTTTGCAAAAAGGTATTTAAGGTGCTCTTCCCATTCTCCAACTCATTTCCTTTCTCAGGGTGTACTAAACACCAACCCAATGAGGAATGCACAGAGCAAGAAAACACTTGCCAAATGGAGACCTTCAAAAGATGGATACGAGTGGAAAACAGCTCTACAGACTGGTGTGCAAGAAGAATCATTAGGTCAGTTACAAAAAGGTACTAGAACTTCCTCAACATAAGGGACATTATGGAACTAGAGGGTCAGGGTGCAGTTGGTCCTGATTTCCATTTTCATAAAAATCCTGCTAGACAGAGTCTAATGTTAACTGTGTACACCTCATATTTCCACCATGCAGTTATTATTGCCTCCATGATACTCCCTAGCTGTTATGAGTTAATCATGCTACTTGGGACAGTCACATCTTGAACCACCTTTATGGACAAAGCATTCTTACAAAATTGTACTTTGCATTTAAGAGTCAATTTATCACAGGATAGGGAAGAGGAAACAGGTAGACAGAATCCAAGCCAGAAAATTTTCATGCCAGCTTCACAAGGCCAGGAACAGATCTGTGGGAAATGGGAAGAAAGCGGAAATGGAAATGAAGAAGCAAAGTTGAAGCAAAGCTAGATAAAAAGATCCCCGAGACCCACCAGTGGTTTACATTAAGCCCTAAAGTTTTCTGTAGCCCTAATCCTGGTAAATTGCTAACAGTAAGATTACCAGGATATCTAACTAAAACACAAGGTCATTTGGAGAGCATTTTCCAATGGTCTCTTGTGCCATTGGAAAAGAGGTATTGAAGTCCAACAGCTAAATTCATCATGTTCTGCCAAAGGAAACAGAGAAGGGATTGAACAGGAAGAAGTGTTTGACTTTCTTAAATCAGATTTGCATTTCCTGTTCTGTTTTAAATAGTAATAAATATGATTCATACAAGGTGATGTTAGGAGAGGGAGATGTGTGCCGTTCCTGTGATTAGAACAGGAAGTGAGGAGGAGAAAGGAATCCCAGCCATGATCTGCAGAAGCCATGTCAAAGGAAAGAAATGGAAGACAGCTTTGAGAAAAACAGCACAAGACTGAAATTCCCTTCCACAACTGCTGCCCTGTGAAAAGAAGATACTGATTCAGGTGGTGGTGCCCATGCAGCAAGCCATGCTTACCTGTC